ACATCTAATTACGTTAACAGAAGTCCCATTTTCTTAATTTATATAATTATGAGTAATAGGTAATTATAACCATCATTTAATTAAATATTGTTCAGATGGTTGATCGAAGTCTCCATTGATGTTTAAGAGCTCCAGTACGGTTCGAAAATAGTCGTATGTTACCAAAATATTTCATTTAAGCTGTACGAAACGAACGAAAAACGAATAACAATAGATATTATGGATAGAATTATTTATTTATTCTCTTATTAATTAATTCTCTTTTACTTTGAAATGTTTAAAAGATTATTTAAATAGAAACATACTCGCAAGCAGTGTAAAAAACTTAGACATTGTATCGCCACGTGTAAGCACTTAGGCAAAAAAAGATATATTTTTATATTTTTATAATGTTTCTTCGTAAGATGTAAAAACACCACATTTAGCAATGAAAATAGAAAAAATAAGTCGTAACTAACAACCTACCAGCGACGTCACTATAACTTCAGTCACTTGTGAAATTAAAAGTATTAATTGTTTATTTTTGTTAGCTTCTGCCAGCGGCTTCGCCCGCATTCCCAGGAGTAAAACGTAGCCCATCTATTACTCCAGACCTTCTAGATCTGTTCCAAATTTCATCCCGGTCTCTTCAGACGTTATGATGTAACTGAGTAACAAACATATACACAAACTGACATGTTTTCACATTTATAATATCATCGGTTCAAGCTAATTTCAACCATCGGTCCTTCAGTTACAGCGTAAAGTTCACTGCGGGAAACCTATATATTCGACAAACTTATATTTGCGTTTGGTATAGTAACTGCGTCTAGGAATTGAGCCGCACAAATATGTTTGTTTTTTGTGTATATGTAAAATTTTTAGGAATAAAAAATGCTTAGTTTTGTGCCCAGGATATTAAAGAATAATCATACCAAGTTGCATTGTAATCAGACTGGTAGTTTTTGCGTGATGCGTGAACGTACAGACAGACAGACAAAAATTGTTTTAATCACATTTTTGGTTTCGGTGTCTATCTAGTAGCATCCCCTAGTATTTATTATTTAAATATTTTCAATGTACAGAATTTACACTCCATTTTGTGTACCTATAGATTATATTCGTAGCACAGACAAGGTTTACCCGCCAGTCTGAACCGACTGACAACAATTACTTGGAGATGAAGCGGTCGGTGTGCGATCATACATATTGACACACACACACAGTATTTTAAATCTGCAGTGGAACTAGTGGTACTTCTGTACTCGTCTGTACTGTGTGCCAGCCAATATCAATATCGTAGGATGGCTAATCTTCTGATGCTGCACTTTAAAGTAGTTCGTACTAGTAATATCGATATTGTCTAGTGAAACTTGTTTAGCATCTATCTTCCTTCAAAGTTCCTCTTCAAAGAAATGATAAAGATAGATGTAATAATTCTTTATAGCTCATTATTTACTTTATAGTTACGTTGACGTGTATGAAAGTAATGATAAAAACAGACAGAAAGAAGAGTGGTGACACTATGTTCATCTTTGAGTGTAGTTACTCGAATGTGTAAGTAGGGCAAAGAGAACCTTATGATTATTATCATAAGGTCTGTGAGTACAAGTTGTCGGCCCCAAACAGAAGGCAGCACTGCAAACACTGCGGTGTAAGAGTATTTATAGAGGCCCAGCTACAGTGCGCCCTAGTTCTTCCGTCCTCGTTGTCAGTTTCGAAGAGACCTTAATTTAGCTTTAAACGCGGCCAAAGCTTTCTGTTCGTTGCTTGTCGTCCCAAAAATACAATGCGCAATATTTCTACAGCAGACTCTTTGTAGACACAACTTGTAAAAATATTTAACCTCTGAAGGAGAGATGAACATTTTCTATACAACGAACTCTTTTGAAATATCTCTTCAAAAGATATGAGATTATATGCATTGGAACTGATGTTATTTCTTTAAAATTCACTTTTGTAGTTTTGTTTAACAATAGCAAAATGTTGATGTATGCACAGACTGTCTTTCATAATACAGAACTACTTATTCTAAAAGCATTACAACAATATCGTTCATACTGTACAAACTGGTGTTATCTACAATTACAATCCATCACCCGTCAATGGATACAATACAATATTATCTATCTCCATCTAGAAGGTTACTGCTTGATACTAGGATTTCCCAGTGCGAGGTGATAACACTGATAAATCTACTGAGAAAATGTGACTGTAGACATTTTGTGCAATTTACCTGCAGATACACTCAGTGGTGCCTTGGAAAGGTTTGGTTAAAAACGATGAGGTTTTTGTAAACTGTTCTATATATATTCTCACTGACTGTTAGATGCACGACTTTCAAAGATTACCATCAAAATTAATTTCTTGGCAGTACATTAAGTTAACGGTGCTATACGTATTCCTGACAATTTTTAGGTGAATCGTAGCCATTTTCACCAACTACTACTAAACCATATCTTAACTATCTGTTACTTAGCGTGACGAACCTAAACTAACCCTTAACCTTACTCATATATTGGTATAAACCAAAATGTTGTTGAAAGCCACCTATCTTAGCTAAGGTGTTCCTTACACCTAATCAGACTACTATATTAAGATGTGTAGATGTCAATTTCAACATGTAATTTATTAATATTAAAAACTCAAGATCAAAAATTACGTCAGTCATCGTGATAGTGACAACGGTACGGCACTACGTGTGTAGATTGCATAATTTCGGGCGCAATTTGATAACATTGTTATCAACGCACATGATTGACAACAGTCTGCGGAAAGGTCGCTACAGTCTAATGACTGTAATGTACGCTGCGAGATTAGGTATTAATATAATACGTTACACGTGTACACATCGCTAGTTAATAAAATTTAGCACGTTAGTACCTAAAATAAATATTGACGTGTAAAAGTGCTGCCTTGTAGCCTATTTGCAGAAATAAATTCACTTGTTTCACTTGTAAATCAAAATCAAATCAAATCAATAATGTTTATTTGCTAAAATACGATACAAAAGGTGTTACAGTGCAATTTTTTCCAGCGTATCCTCCCGTATATGGCGTGCAAATTTATTATTAAAATAACACTATCTAGATTCTATCGACTCATCTTCTAAATAGTCGTCAATAGGTCATATAGTTACTCTTTGGTAGCAAAAGTTTAAATAACATTTTCTTAAATAATGTCAAAAGTAATTCTTGTTAACTATTTGGTAATTTATTATAAATGATTATGGACATACAATATACATTTATTTTAAATATTTTTAATTTACTTCTGTATTGCACCCATAGATACAGATACATTGCACGATGCACAATGTGTATATGACCCGGCGCTGTTATTACTGAATTATCATTCAATTAACTTCAGTTTACAATAATAAACCAATTATTGTAATAAATGGAATATTAACTGGTGGATAGCAGACGCTAGTGATTATACTGTACCGCAATAAATAAGGAGTACTGTGTGCGCGTGCGCCAGTCTCATACGACGCGACACGGTAGCGCGCAGGCGCAACACTTGCAATATTACTATACTAATACAAAGGTAAGCAGCAGTAAAATGTCGTGTGACCGCGGATCATCTCAGCTGGTGACCTGTGTATTTAGTGACAGTGGATTTTCAACAAAAAATGGACTAGAACAAATACAAATAGCATCTTCAGTTTTCAATTTTGTGTTCACAAGTTATCGATGTTTTTACCGGAAAAACATGAATTTGAACAAACAATGTTTCTAGAAAGTAGGTATAATTATTTTTATGGGGAAACTACCTACAGTTACAAGGGACTAAAAAAAGTCTCATTTTATTCACCAATTACTTATACAAAAATATACAGTGAAGTCTTTTCTCGAAGTATTTCGTTTTCGTCCCGAAGTGAAATGGTTTTCTCTCGGTAATAAAATAGTTTTACAAAGAAATAAAATGTTTCAAACTTTAGATAGCTGGTGAACCATTGCAAAAAGTAAACTTTGAAAGCTTATAAAACGCATAATACATTATCAAAACATCATGCCATGTAGTTCTCGAAGAGGTATTTCTCGTCGGATGATACCTACAAGTTTACGTCTAGTGTGCCTATTTCAATGAAAATATTTATAAATGAAAAAAAAAATACATGTTTTACCGCGGGCCGAAAACTAAACAGATTACACGGTGTAGTAGGAATTCATATGGTGCATGTGTTCATAGACCATCGAGGAGGAACTAGAAAGACCAGGATAAAACTATGACCGGTGTAATCCACTGTTTACCTGCGGTCTGTATGTAAACTTAAAAATGCATACGTTTGGTACTATAGAGGTATGTTTACATATTTCATATTCTAGGATTTATGATAAATCCTTTACAAGGTCGTTCGAGATGTCTGCATCGTAGCTGCAAGACGATTGCCGCAATTAATCTTACTTCTTACAAATTCTATAAATAGCTACGATGTTTATGAGTTTGTGTGTGTTTATTACTCAATCATGTCAAAATGGCTAAAGGGATTGGCATGCAATTTAAAACATAGGCTGCTTTTATCCCATTGGAACGCAGGCGAAGTCGCTGACAGAAGCTACTATTGTCATATTTTATCTTGTGCCGTACTCATACAAAGTGTATGACAATAGTACATCACTGCTATAATCCCAAGGAGACTTTTGATGAGTGGTTTCCTTTACTAAAATAGCAATGCCACTTACTGACGGCTCACATTTAATATACATACAGAGTATATATCTGATCGTATTGCACATTAGCCTGTTTTCATTGGCTAATGATTATGTCTTTAATTATTTTTAAAAACAATCCTGACTCAAATTACAACTTAAGGAATAGATTTTTCTTAACAACACGAAACTTATCCACGTTACAGATTATGAGTCATTATAAAGTCATTATAAGTCATTACTGGTGATAATCAGTTATCGTTAAAATATCGACAACTAATACCTACTAACCTACTTTGGAGACGTACACGAAAATTCTAAATCTAACAAGCAAATAATACATAGAGTTTTATTACTTTTCACCAGATGTCACACACAGTGGTAAGAGGAAAGCCAAATGCTGCTCAGCTCTACCTGGACTCGGTGCTGGACGCCATATTGCTCGAACAGGGAATCAAACCCAATGCTGAGCAGAGGGACAATGTGACGTTATCACAGATCCTGTTGTACTCTCTCAAGCAGAGACCAAAAGAAATTTTCATGGTAAGTTTTGACCATAAATAGTACAAATTTATGTATAACGGTGTACTATGGCCTCACACCAAAATCTTTCAATTACACATTTTTAACACTTAAGATGACGGCACGATTGGCGCGGTGTGGCAACTGGATGCTGCGCAACGTGACACGGGTTCGATTCCTGCACGGAACAACTCTTTGTGTGATTCAAAGATTGTTGTTTCGGGTCTGGGTATCATGTGTATGTGAACTTGTATGTTTGTAAACGCACTCACGACACAGGAGAAAATCCTAGTGTGAGGGCCACGTTTTATAAAATTAGAAAAAAAAACATTAGTAGGTATGGGCTTTCTGTCAAATCCTTAGATCGATTCAGAGATGTTGATTTAGATCGAATAATAATTTCAAGCGCATATAACAATTAAACATTACTAAAAACGTTTAAAAATAATTATTTAGTTCTTAATCGGTTATAGGCACAGCCGTACTACATAATGCTATCAAGGTTATTTTCCGAATTCTAATCCGAGATAAACACGTTATCTATCATGCACGCAAAGTGTTGTCTATAATCGTAAGATTTAGAACTAATTATTATTATTTTTTGCAACAACTTCATACGCCTACGACTACGTAGAAACTTCTTGTGTAATCTTACACTATTATATGAAGCTAAATAGTTTGTATGTCTTAACGGACTAATCTCAGAAACTACTGGTCCGATTTGATTAAAATCTTTTTGTATTGGTTGTCGAGGAAAGCTATAAAAAATCACGCCACAATCAATATGCGCCGAACAGAACGGCTGAAAACGCGCTGAAATACAGTTATATGAGTATCTTAAGTATTTATTGACTGCTGTAACAACAAAACTTTCTTCTGATGGACAATCCACCATAGTCGATGACGTACATACATCACAGACATGACGAGTGCAGTACCGAGTACCGACCAATATCCTCTTAAATTTTATATTTTGTATGATATCTCAAATACCAAGTCATTACCATGTTGTAGATCAATGCTGGTACTGAAGAAGTTATTACAAACGAACAGCTCTTAAAGCGTGCTGTCTCGCTCGCACGCACGCTGACCGCCATGGGCGGGAAAGGGAAATACGCTTTCATGTTGATGAGGAACCACCAGGAGATGGCAGTGATATACTTCGCTGTCATGTTTGCGGGAGTGATCCCGTTCCTAGTGGAGCCTACTTCTACTGTTTGTAAGTTTCAATCCCTATTCTAGTGAGACATACTTTTTTTCTTAAATAGAGCTTATTTGCTCTTAACAAGTGTGGGAGAGCCATGCTTCGGCACGAATGGACTGGCTCGACCGGAGTGATACCACGGCCTCACAGAAAACCGACGTGAGGCATCGCTTGCGTTGTGTTTCGTCGTATAAGTGAGGTAACCGGGGCCTCAATTACTCCCCTCCCCTTCCCCAATCTCCCCAATCCCCCCAAGCTCTGAATCTCCAACGATCCTCAAACTCCTAATCCCCAAAAGGGTAACGCACGTATAACGCCTCTGGTGTTCCAGGTGTCCATGGGCAACGCCGATTGCTTACAATTAAATGATCCGTCTGCTCGTTTACCGGCTTATTCCATAAAAAAACAAACGCTGCTCTTAAATAAGAGTCCCGGTGAAATTTGGATCTAATCTAATAGAGCTTGCCTCGAACAGAGTTGTACTCTGAAGTATTAGCATTCCAAACAACAATAAAAATTAATGAACATATGTATATCTTCAGTGTATTTAACTCCACTTTCTTAAGTGTAGAATTTTTTAAAAGAAGAACTAACAAAAAGAAAATTTCATACAGATTTTTTGAGGGATGTGATATTGTTATAGTATATATACCTTGACAGTTGAGCTGACCCACTTCCTAAAGCTGGTGGAGCCTAGTTTCGTGTTCCACGACGAAGAGTTCGAGCCGGCGATGCTCGAGGCGACACGCGCCTGCCCCGAGCTGATGCCTACTCTGATACCAGCAGACCGACCTGGAGTCATTGACAACTTCATTCGAGGACAACCAGATGATGTTGCCAGTTTTCAGTGAGTGTAATACAAATGATGTAACGATTGAAGAGACTTCAGAAAGAGAAGAGAAAAAAAATCGAAAAGATAAAAGTACTAATCCATTTCCAAGAGGAATTCGTTTTCAGATTGTAGTGGAGTAGGCCTCATTCTCAATGTTCACATTTGTATGGTTTGTAGGTTCACTTAGATTTTATAAGAATTTATATTATTACATTCCAGGGTTCCAGAAGCATCAATGGACGACCCGGTGATGTTGCTACCTACCAGCGGATCTACTGGACTACCCAAGGCCACAATTATGACACATCGAGGACTAGTAGCACAGCTTCCTTCTCCATGGTAACCATATCTTCATCATCATCATCATCAACAGCCTATAAATGCCCACTGCTGAGCAAAGTCTCTTCTCACACGGAGAAGGTTAGAGCATTAATCACCACGCTTGCTCAATGCGGGTTGGCGATTTCAAACTTATAATTAGAAATTATAAGCCCAGGTTTCCTCACGATGTTTTTCCTTCACCGTTTGTCAGTGGTGTCTAAATAATCTTAGAAAGTACATATAACTCGGAAAAAGTCACATTGGTACTTGCCGTTGGTAGGTTTCGAACCCGCACCCTCATGCATGAGAAGCAGGCGTCTTAAACCTCTGAGGCACCACGACATTCTTCACATTCATCATAATTTGTAAAAGATGTTGTTTACTATATCAAGTTTATAATTCATGGCAGGTCATATCAGACGCAGTTCCCGACGCCCACCGGCCTCATGATGATCCTCACCACCATTCAATGGATGACGTTCACGATGTACACCACCGCATCCACCGTCTACCACACCCCCATCCTCATGTCCTCCAAGAAGATCACGGCAGAACATGTCGCCGAGATGATTGATAAATATCGAGTGAGTTCATTTTAGCATTGCGTTATACTTGCTTACTTCCTGCCATTTTCTATAATCTATCTATCTATTTTGTATGGAGTTTATGTCAAAATTCTATATCAGTAAGCAAATCGACAGTTATATAGGTTACAGAAAATGGCCGTAAGAGATTGATTTCGTTTTTGTCGATACGATTATTCAACTTAGAAATCACTTCCTATAGAATAGTTGTGGTCCCCGTATTGTATGGTACATACTTTTTGTATGTACATATAACTGACGTAAGGTAGGTAATACTTATATTTTTGTTAAGTTTTTCTCTATCACTATCAATAGCGTATAAGTGACCAGTTTTTAACAAAGGCCTCTTCTCCCATGGAGAAGATTTTGAGCGATAATCCCTATGCTGCTCAAGGCGGATTGGTGATTTCGAACTTATAATTATTCGAAATTATTTTCTTTACAGGATCCACATTAGAATTAGTTTAGATAACTTTAGTAATAGCACTTTGTCCTTGTCATAAACTCATTAATATTATGTTGTTAATTTATTATCTAACCTATTGTTTCGATTCGTAATTTGGTTTTGACTTTGATCCAAAATATCTGATTTATTTCGAAATCAAATAAGTCCTTGTTGACAGCAGGTACCTTATATCTGATTTCATAGTAAACAACGATAAATTTAGTGAAAATTCTAATTATTTACATTCATAAATTTATTTTGTGTTGTTAGGAACACAACCAAAATAATATAATTAGCATGAGACAGTACAATGATGGATACAAATGGCCTTATAGACAAACATGCGATGTTTTCGTCCAACAGAGCCTGGCTGTAACTACATAGCAACAGTGTAGTCAACAAGCCGGAAAATTGCCGAGCACCTACTCTTTGGACCACTTTGATGAACTACAAATACATGTACCTACTTTGATTGTAAAAAAACATCGATTGTGTAGTTAAGTCGATGGTCATTTTTAAACGTCTTTGAAAAAAGATTGAGGTTCTCGGTTTGACCTCAGTCAGTCAGTCAGTATGTTTGTATGTTTGCGCGCTTATCTAACGTTAGATTGAACCGATTTTGATCAGAATAGTGTTTCTTACATTTAGGGGAAGGAGTTAGTATATTAATTAACCGACTTCAAACGTAAAGACGGGTTTGAAATCAGTTTTATTAAACGTAGTTTATAAAATAATTATTAGATTCAGTTGGTGATGATTGACGAATTATCATTATAATTTTTTAGCTTAAGCTAACGCTAACCATAAATTACTTATTTACGCAATATCTACAAATTAGATAGTAGTACTCCGTCCTTCTATACAATGAGAGCCCGTAGTAAATAACTCTTTGTTAATACGAATGCGCCTGTGTTCTAGCATTTTTGTTTCTATATTTCAGCCAACGTTTACATTCTTCTCTCCGGCGTTTGCAGCTTCCCTACTGCCGTTGGTGACCTCTGATCAGTTGAGTTCTTTGAAGACCGTGATCTTGCTTGGATCTCCTGTCACTGAGCAGCAGATGAAAGCGTTACAAGTACGTACAGTTCAACTTCAACTATGTTATGTTTGTAATAGAATTCAATTTTGCAAAATCATCTCAATGGTACGAAAAATTATGTTTCAGGAAAAGCTGCCGAAGACGGCCCACTTATGTGATGGTTACGGCACCACGGAGACACAGGGCTACATAGCAATACCTGACACAGAGGCACCACTCAAGTGCAACGGATGGGTCTTCAACTTTCTATACTACAAGGTCGGTGGAGATACTGTTAATAGATTTTCAACTTTATAACAAAAACTTAAAGTGGAAAATCTAGTTAACCATAATAGTATGAGGTAGCATCTTGAGCTGGTTCGAAAAAGAGTGTCGTCAGTAAATGAATATTAAAGAACTGAAATGTAAAGGTGATTACATTTTCTGAAATGATATACATTCCATTACTTCAGCTTACTTTACTTGCTCGGCAACTCTGACGACATTACGAGTAAATGGAAAAATAAAAGTTACTTAGACACTACGTAATATTGTATTAAACTAAATACATTTATGACACCCCAATTTATTACATTACTTTAAAATAATTCAATATTAGATTGTATAACTTTATAACAAAACTTTTGTGAGACATACTAAATTAATTATTATGTTCTCGGCTTACTCATGTAACTGTTTGACGAGGAACTCGACTAGTTTCCAGCCATGCTGGAGGCTCATATTCATGAGCAGCATTTTACGAACCGCGACGCGTCGTCGTCGCGTTGCTGTTGTTGCGTTGAAACTCGTCGAGTTCTCGTCAAACAGTTACGTGGGTAAGCCGAGAACATAATAATTAATTTATGTAAATTGTTAAAAATTATATCACTAGGCATACATTGACAGTGTAATTTCATATTGCTATCACCAAAATAACAATATATCAGTAAGTGAAGTCACTTTAATCCGGATACAGTCTTTATTGCATTTTTATTTGGAAATAATCCGAATAATTGATGCAATAAAGGAGTTTTACAGATTATCAGCTATTACTTGTGAAATATTGCAGTTCTGTCGATTAAGAAGCTTAACGAACTGTAGACCTGGCTGAATAGTCCATAATAGAGTAGATGACTAATATGTAGAGTATTGTAAAACATTACACACGAATTTTCTTAAGAACATAACTTTCGACGATATATTGAGTTGAAATATCGCGAGACGTCACTTCTATGTATATTATAGACGTAGAATGAATGACGTTTTAGCCTCCATTCCTAAACTTTGATTCGTTTTATCTCCTTATAATCCGACATACTCCGACAAAATAAAAATACGTGTCTAATATTTTTTTATTACTTTACTAACGGACTAAATAGATGTTTAATTTTCATACTCCGTCATCATCCTATGCGACCTTTGTACCATGTCATCAAAATTGGTTTAGTACCTAGTTTAAATGTGCGAGTATGACAGATATCGCATTTATAATATTAGTAGTATAGAGAGCAAAAACATTTAATATCGGAATAAAATTATCCAAACTCGTATAAATAATTGCAATGTGTGGAACTTTCCAGATTGTGGACGATGAAGGTCAGGAGCTGGGGTTGAAACAGAGCGGAGAGCTCTGGGTGAAGGGAGTCAGCGTTATAAAGGTATGTCCCACTGTCAGTCAGTGAACAAGGCGAATAATAATGTCATTCTATCGATTGAATAATAACTGAATTTTCAAGTGTCTGAAGCTACAAATACATATATTGTAACTACAGTAAACAATGATATAATTTTAAGTATGTTTAACTTCATTCTATGACTGAAATCTGCGATTGGCGGTCATCATAAAAGGCTAGACAAACATTAATTTTACCAATTTGTACTGCTGAGAAGCTACATAGTGGGTACTATTTCAAGATAGAAATAAATTATTAAGTTGTATAATGTCCAGGGCTACCACAAGAACGTGGCCGCGTACGAGGAGACGGTCACCCCTGACGGCTGGTACAAGACGGGAGACGTGTTCTATGTGGACGAGAACGAACGAGTCTCATTCGTCGTCAGGAAGAAGTTCAACTTCAAGTACAAGGGCTTCCAGGTGAGCAGTTGTTAGGAAGTGAACAATCATTCAATCAATACATCAGTAACAATCAATATGTTAGATCAGAAGACATGCCGAGTATTTATTAATAAGAAATGACGTCTGAGCAACGTCTCGACGGGTGAGGTCTCAAGGGGACTGAGCTGTCTTAAGAGAGTTCTATTTCCATCGTATAAAGGAAATGTCAGACGCTGGTAGAGGCTGCCTTTGTGAGATACAGCCGACACGTGAGCGGTGCCAGCCCTTCCCTGACCCTACCTAGATATTTTAGTATTCCCTTTCAGCAAGGTGCAAATATAGGGCGTGGAGATCTATAGGGCTAACATGTAGCAGCGCGCTCGCTCGAATAATTATATTATGTTAAGTAGGACGACCCTCGTTACTTGGTGACGGTTTATTACCATATTTTGTTAATTTCAAAAGAAGTCCGAACACAAAATGAACGCTTTAAATATAGATTAAAGTCGGAACTAGCTTCCAACCGGATTGTTGCGGTTGTGGCGTCACTGAGCAATCTCGTACTGTCCTCAACTACTTAGAAATATTCAATTTGTAAGTCGTGAATAATTCGATGTCATGTGTCATTGAGTTGCACGTATTTTTATACGGTCTTTCCTACTCGATTACACTCGTCATTATTAAGATTGCAAGCGTGATTTCTGTGTTGGGTGGTGTTGAACGCTTCCTTCTCTTCCTGGTATTGGTGTAATCCTGCACAAAAAATTTCATATTTTTTCGGTTGAAAAATTGTGATCATATTAAATTGAGGAACAAAAAATAACAAGCATTTTTTTATCATATCGCAGGTGGCTCCAGAAGAAGTAGAGCGTATAATCTGTTCGGTGCCAGGAGTGCAGGAGAGCGTGGTGTGTAACTCTGACAGCGGGCCGGTGGCGGCCGTGGTGCTGCAGCCGGGCGCTGACGTCACCAGGGACAGGATACACACTGCCGTCAACTGTAAGCTATATTAGTACACCACATGATATGATCGGTACCAGGACGCTGCCATCCTGAGAGCAGGAGAGTAATAAAACATTAAAATCTATTTAAAAATAAATATTTAGAGGTTTTAATCTCTAAGAGGTTTTAAACTAATTATAGGCAAAGCGAAAGTGGACCTTTTAAATGAAACACAATTGTAAAAATATATTAATTACTTTTCTTCTGGTAATGTTGCAGCTACTCTGAGCGAACACAAGCGGTTACACGGAGGGCTCGCATTCGTACCCTCTCTCCCTCACACACCCACCGGCAAGTTGAAGAGGAATGAGTGCAGCCAGCTGATGACACGACTCATGAAGACCGGACAATGTTGCTAGACATAATTATAATATAGTAATAAAAAGTATTTTTTAAAACAAATCGTCCATAATTTATTTCTAAGTGTATCAAACTCCGAAGTCTTCTTTGTCTAAAATATTAATATTCCGGTCAGACATGTTCTTACTGTTGCAACCAATAATTTGTGTTCAGAAGTTGTTTGCAAAGGTGCATAGAAAGATAACGTCCATTTAAAAAAGACGTCAATGTACTGGACTCTGTCTTGGAACTACAATGTACTTTCATGGTAACAAACTTAGGTACCTACATGAAACAAGAAAATATCTTTACCTCAATATTACCCGAGATCATTCATTGTGTGAACCGAGGCACTGAAATACAGAACCCTTCAAACATTGCGCTACAACTAACAAATCTACATGTTACACATAAAGTACACAATATGTTCTTTTATTTTTCTCACAAAACTTATGATAACATCAGCCCTTTCATTTCCCAAACCACCAAGTCTCACGTTTGATCCTTGCGACGAGCAAAAAGTACTGTAGGTAATGGTTGTTGTCACAAAAAATAACATTAGTAGACCACTTTGAGAATTTAGCTGTGTTACAATCTCGTATTCGTTTAAACTTTTACAGTGGCCTCAACGACAAGAACATTAATGAAATAGGGGCTGCACGTTTTAAAGGAATAATATTAGTATTCAACCCGGTGTAATTAGATTTTTGATAGAACTCCGGAGATTCCAAATATTTCAGTTAGTAGACAAGAAATTAGTAGTAGTAGAAAGAAAAAGACTGCCTCGTTGGCCGAGTGGTCGCAATTGCGACTGCCGGGCAAGGGGTCTCGGGTTCGATTCCCGGGTCGGGCAAAATATTACTGGGTTTTTTTCAAAAAATCTCAGTAGTAGCACGGAGTTTGGAATTGTGCCCGGTATATGACAATAGGCTCACCCCCTATTACATGGGACTCATGACATAAATAGTGAAAAGTGGGTGTTACATTGTACCGTGGCATTAAGTGCCGTAATGTACACCTCTGCCTACCCCTTCGGGGATAAAAGGCGTGATGTTATGTGTATGTGTTTTAGTGATTATAAAATGAAGTAAAATTTACTTGAAAAAATACAATTCAAGTTACCTACCTAAATAAATTTATATTAATTTTGGTTCGTCACAGCTATAACTATAGAAGTTTTCCGATTTCCTTTCACAATATTAATATGAGTCCTTGACAACCCATAGTAATTCATTTTTGGTCGTTAGGCCAGAATTTGCCGATCTCCTATTAGTTTAATATTATTGAACACAAACACACTGGTCTCATAAGCCATTATACTATACCTAAGCATTGAATAATTTGCTTCTAGTTATTTCAACACACTGTGTATAGTAAGTTTTACACGAATTTTGCAATGTGGACTATTGTTTTATTTTAGGCAATCTTATGTTGTTTGTTAAATATGCTTTACTTTTTCTAGAAGGCTAACGACCTAAAGACCTAAACGCTTAGACATTGTGATAAAAGCACCTTTTGTATAGGAGACCCATACAGTCCAGTAGTGGGCAGTCATAGGGTGTCTGTCTTATTGTATTGAAAACCATTTATTAAAATCACTCACTACTCGACTAACATAACATCACGCCTTTTATCCTCGAAGGGATAGGCAGAGGTCAACAACATCCACTTGTCATTATTTATGTTGAGTCCCATGTAATAGGGGGTGAGTCTATTGCCATATACCAGACACAATTCCAGACTCCGACTACTACTGAGATGTCTTTAAAATCCGGTAGTACTTTGCCCGATCCGGGAATCGAACCCGAGACCCCTTGCCCGGCAGTCGCATTTGCGACCACTCGGCCAACGAGAAGGTCTCGTTACTACTACTAGTACTACTCGACTACTAATGAAATGCCTTCGTAATATGCCAACGAGATGAGTAATTGAATTGCTGTCGGTTTATAATATTTTTTCCAGTTTAATAGAATTTAACAGAAATTCCACAACCAATATCCTACTAACCACACCCCCTATTACATGGGACTCATAACATAAATAGTGAAAAGTGGGTGTTACATTGTACAGTGGCATAATGTACTCCTCTGCCTACCTCTTCGAGGATAAAAGGCGTGATGTTATGTTATGTTCCACAACCAATAGTGTATACCTAATACTCACGAGTAAGAAAATCTCTAGTTCTAAGGAATCCCTTAACTACTACAAATGAAGAACGAACATTCCTACTCACAGGCTTCTTAGAATTCCTAGGTCGGTTATAATTGAGGAAATCCAACTTAAGTTAATAAATTTTCCAGAAATCAGTACCTCTACGTGTGGACTAATGTACCTACGTGACTATTGGCAGCAATTTCCAAATATTATCTATATTTACGGCAGATTTTGAACTGACGACAGAAACGACAGATTACCATACGACATGTTATCTCACTACCAGGTGGTTGCTACGCGTAGTAGTTGCTTATAACCGGTTATAACCGGATAATTTCCTTATCAGAGATTGTGATCTTTTGTTTACAGTTACACTGCTTATTATTTCACAATATTTTCATGACACAGGAGGAGATACTCGCACTAATACGATAATGACTTATTGTTGCAGGTAAACTTAGAAGTAATAGTTTTGTTTATGTTTTCTGTTAGGCATTTTATCAAATCTTCGAAACCTTAAGGCTAATAAAATAATGGAATGAATTAATTACTTTACTATAGTCAAAATTACTTTTTAATTTATTTAATCTACTACTAAGATCTTTTACAATCATAATTCGTGCGTTACAAAGGTAAAACAACATTAATAAATACTTAACTTCGCTTCGAATTAAACGGTATAGTACATTACGTAAGGCAATAGTGTAGTGTGTGTGACACCTCGCCCTATAAGGCAATATATGTAATAGGTATCAGATAAAATAGTTCTAAGAATAATATTGTAACATGACCCTTATATGATATAATTCTATATATGGTAATTGAGGTTGTAATAGTACCTAAGTATAAACATCTGGAACCTGAAACCTAACGCTGTAATAGTACCTATAACCTCATCTATGTACCAGTACTATGACATCATCCCTGTAAACCCTAATTATTGTAAAAGAGGTCCATTTATAAAAATAAAGTTAGTCTTATAACCACCGTCTTGTGTTTACTTATTTCCCCGCGTACCGCTATCACAATAGGCTCACCCCCTATTACATGGGACTCATAACATAAATAGTGAAAAGTGGGTGTTACATTGTACAGTGGCATTAAATAAGTGCCGTAATGTCCACCTCTGCCTACCCCTTCGGGGATAAAAGACGTGATGTTATGTTATGTTACATTATGTACTTATGTTAACATGTATACAAGTAAGCTACTAGTGGGACCTGAAAATCTTGACACAATACAATTCGCCGGATTTACCTGTACACCCGTAGGTACCTGTATTCTTTCATAGTTTTATTACAATTAATTTATATGTAGATAAATTACATATAAGGGCATAGCATAAAAACATTTACTTTTTTCAAGTTTCTAGGGAACATCAAAAATTAGCTTAATTCTAGAAACAATACTTTTTGAAGACTGAATCTGCTCTCTGACAGCCTCGTTGGCTGAGAGGTCGCAAGTGCGACTACCAGGTAAGGGATCATAATGTTCAATTCCTGGGTCGTGCAAAGTACCACTGGGTTTAAAAAAATCTCAGTAGTAGCACGGGGTCTAAAATTGTGCCCGGTATATGGCAATAGGCTCACCCCCAATTACATGGGACTCATAACATAAATAGTGAAAAGTGGGTTTTACATTGTACAGAGGCATTAAGTGCCTTAATGTGCACCTCTGCCTACGCCTTCGGGGATAAAAGGCGTGACGTTATGTTATAATATTTTTGAAGATATCTCCAGATATATTAATCTATTCCTTACAACTTAGGAGTGGCCATATATTGTTGTCACCCGGCAGTTCGCATGATTAGACAATGGTTGGTACTCAAAACAACCGGTTGTAACCGGTTACAAAATTATTTTCCACAACGCGTGCTTGATGACGAGTGTGATGTACTACAGTGATTGCTATCACGTCACCTGACACACTCACACACACACACAAGATATCACATGCCCGTTTTGAAAATACTGCTTGATAATCCTATTGCACAATGTAACAACAATCCTACTAATGGTATAATTGAGAAAGTTTATATATCTGTTTATTTGTTACGTCACGTCAAAATGGCTGAACGAAAAGGGGCAGATTAAGGTCCGGAATATCGCTTATCTGAATACGCTATTTTTATTTTACGGGAGGCTAGTACCTAGTAAAAATTATAATCATTATGAATATGGCGTATATGAAAAAGCTTAAACCTTCATCATCGTTGTCCTCAGCCGGTGGACGTCCACCAGTGTATAAAGGTTTTAGTCCTCCACGTCGAACCACACCTCACCACCGAAATCCGATGTCATCCCACAACTAGGTATATGACAATGTCGTCGGATCATTTCGCGGGCGCCCTGCCCAATATACGTCTTCCAGTCCCTGGTCAACTGTCAGTCCTTCGAGCGATGTGGTCTGCTAACAGGCCGTCTTGTGACATTTAATTGATATCATAACCAGGGCCGTCTTAGACTACGCTGGGCCCCTTAGTTACACAATATTCGGGGTCCTTTTAGAATGTTATTTTTTTAACTTTGTCCCACACTAGGATTTTCTTCTGTATCGTGGGTGCATCTACAAACATACAAGTTCACATACACATGACACCTAAACCCGGAACAACAATTTGTGGATCACACAAAGATTTGCTCAGTGCGGGAATCCAACCGCATGGACACACACCCGCTACACGTTGCGTACAAATTGTCGGTCCTCCAGGGCCCACGGAGGATGGAGCCCTGGGCACGGGACCCGAGAGCCTTTATGGTACAGACGGTACTGAACATAACAATGTTTAGCAACAGGAGCATTTCCAAATGCAATGGAACTAATTAATCATAATCCGGGTAAAACAGACTTGTAATTCACTCTGTTTTAACCAGATTTTTTTATCGTTACTATACCACGTATGGCATCTATTATTTACCTTTATACCTCCTTTTGCCATGAGTTTTAATGATAACAAAAATATGGCATTCGTTTTATTAAAACCCAAAAACGCCTTTTGTCTTTACCTTAAAAATCGATAGCATAGTACGACGTGTCGATTACACAACGTAGAAAGTACAATGGCCCTATAGGAAAGAGAAAGTGGCTTGTCTATGAGGTAACTAATACATATTATCATGGTGTCAATGTTCCACACATGGTCGTGGTCTAACGGTTCGAGCTTGTTGCTGGGCGCCGCGCGGCTGGCGGTGCGGCCGGGCCGGCGGGCGCGGCGTGACGCGGTCGGTGATGCACCGAGAGTGACTACGTGAGCCTCCACCGTTACCAACAATAACAAACATGACACGATGGAAAATTATACGATATACGTAAAATATTATTTATAAATAGTATTTTTATCATTTCGTATCGATCTATTTTGGTTTCTTATCACACGCTATCATTTCTATAAATAATGTTGATTGTAGACATCTTCTAAACTACGCCAGCGGTCGGTCAGTGGTTCGCGCCTGTGTCTGCGGTACTGTCGTCTACTACAAGCTACAAGGTGCGTACTACACACGTGTTATCTTATTATTCGCGTTACGTACTATTATATTTGTAGCGCTTATTATTGCAGAGAATGTTCATGTTGTTTATGTTTTGTTTGTTTTTTTCCCTCTCACGGTAAGCTTTAATTTAAAGTGGAGCAGAAACTATTGTTACGATTTGTTTTCACAAAATATGTGTAAACTGTTGCACGTTTGTTGGTTATGTTTCAAACTATAACAATCTAAGTATGAACGTATAACTTTGTGACACAGAGTGTGTATAACAAATTGTTTTAAACAATATATTCACGAAGATGAGACGTAATGTCGTAAACCGTGTGAGTTCCTTGCCCCTCACAAATAAAATAGTTCCCGCGGGACAATTTTCGTCTTATCAAAAAATGTAGTGCTCGGGGCGTAATATTTGTTCCTTCAAGGAATATTACGTGCGCGAATATGTTGGGAATGTCTCAGTGAACGTGTTAGCTATAGTCGGGCCTCCAACAACAGATAGCTTACGATACTATCAAGATAATTTGCCTTCCTCCACTTGTAAACTATTTCCTTGAATTATTGAGATAAAATAATGTATAATGTCTTGGTATTTGCAACTACATGTCCGCTACAGTATACATATTAGATTTATCAGCTGTTTTTTGTAAGTTATAAGGAAGACGTTACGTAAGAATTATGTTTTTGTTGCAGATAAAAATATCTGTTTAATTATTGTTTTTTATCATGCTCAGATTTATTTTAGTGTTTATTGAAATTCTTCGCGAACATACTTATCATTATAAATTGCATTCAAACATCGTTTAATGACATTTTCCTTCCAGAAAGATGTCAGCCAGTAATATCTGTACTTCCCTAAATCTGTGTTTGTCTGTTCAAAGTTCAAATAATTATCTACCTTTACTAAATATTATAATTTATTATTTTACCAGATGTCTCACACAGTTGTACGAGGAAAGCCAAATGCTGCTCAGCTCTACCTCGATACGGTACTGGACGCCATATTGCTCGAACAGGGCATCAAACCCGACGCCACGGCGAGAAGCAATGTCCCCCTCGCAGAGATACTGTTGCACTGTCTCAAGCAGAGACCTAATGAAGTGTTCATGGTAAGCAAATCTGTAAAATTTTGAAGAGTATGCTGTTACAGGTAAAACATACTTCATATCTCTAACGTACACTAACATAATAATATGTTTAAACTATTCATGAACATCGTAAGTTCGTAAAATTGATGAAGCAAAATTCAACTGACTTTTTTGGTAAACAAAGTAGGCATGTAGCTCATATTTTTAATAAATATTTCATAAAAATTCATTGGTTAGTTTCCGTCACATAGAGAACATTCTTTTTTAATTTGTATCAGCGCTTTAACAACCGAAGCGATTAGCTAAAAAATCCAATCTATTCGGTCTGAATGTGGTAGGTGTGTGACGTCACGAGTCCACTGCGATAGCGTTACAAATTGCCTGGTAGCCACGGTTATTGAGCAATTTCATCTGTTTGCTGCGCTCAATGGAAATAACTGACGCTTTCATAAAAAGAGGACACCACGCGATATACTCCTGTCCAGTATAAACGGACCGGCAGCTCCAATACTGCAGTCGAAGCTGTGTCAATTACATTTCCTCCTTTTGCAAAAACTCGTCTGACGATCTCTCTCGCAAAGTATAACAAACTTATATTACCTGCGGAATGGTCTTTCTCAGTTCGTAATTCGAAAGAAATTGATGATTGAAGACATTCTAAACTTGTAATTGGTTTATTGATTGTTTATGTATGACGCGCCAACTCATTTGAGTTTGGAACATGATGACTATGAACTTTGAACTTGTAAATTCGATTATGCTTAACCATGAACATCATCCGAATACATCCACTCCCGATTCTCTGTACGACATGATCCTCTCTGCTTCGCTCTTTAAAGGAGGCTTGCCATTATTTCCTCTACTTGGTAAGCGACTTGACAATCGAAGGTAGGTCACCGAATATTTAAAGGAGAATAACTAGATGTGATTATTTGGCTAGGGTAGTGGTATACTTACAACTTGTGTTTCAAGTACCTGTTATTGTTTAGAGTAATGCTGGAACGGGAGTAGACATAACAAATGAGCAACAATTGAAGCGTATCGTCTCTATCGCACGCACGCTGACTGCCATGGGTCTGAAAGGGAAGTACGCTTTGGTAGAGATGAGGAACCACCAGGAGACGGTGGCAGTGTTCTTCGCACTCATCTTCGCTGGAGTGATTCCGTTCATGATGGAACCTAACGCTACAGTCTGTGAGTATTGTCTGAGTTATTTTCGCTTTCTTCGACTGTGTTCCAATTGACTCCAAGATTGCTGATATATCGCAGAAGGAATAAGAAAACAATGGTATTGTTTGTGATATATGATAGAATCTGAATGATAAATTGAGTTTTGAATTTGATATGATAATGTTATTATTTGTACAGATGAGCTGACCCACTTCCTGAAACTTGTGGAGCCTAGCATCGTGTTCTACGACGGAGAGTTCGAGCCAGCGATGCTCGAGGCGACGCGCGCCTGCCCCGAGCTGATGCCCACGCTGGTACCGGCGGACCAGCCCGGCGTCCTCGATAACTTCACTAAAGGACAACCAGATGATATCGCCAGCTATCGGTAGTTGTTTTATGATTTTTTAATTAACTGGCTCCACTCTCGTTTAATTTAAGTTTTGTTCTCACTAATGGTCAAATATTATTGAATCGGTCCAGTTGACAGTTGTCTAGTTTCAGACATACAAACAAAAAGTATTCTCTTTATAACCACAAATATTGTATTCATCAGGGTCGCAGAGACTGCTATGGATGACACCGTGTTGCTGCTGCCCACCAGCGGCTCCACTGGACTCCCTAAGGCTGTGATCCTGACGAACCGGGGACTAACGACAGTTTTACCAACGCCTTGGTAAGTTCCTAACAATAATGAGTGAACAAGTTTCTGTGTGAGCAAGCAATGTGGAGTGTACCTGTGTGAGTGAAAGGAAATAGCTTGTTGTGCTGTTCAATGATGATGTCCTAATTGTCTGCAGGACATATCACTCCAGTTTCCCGTCTCCAACGAAGAGAACAATGATCCTGACCACCATCCAGTGGGTGACGTTCACCATGTTCACCACCACCAGCGTCACCTACCACATCCCCATCGTGATGACACCTAAACCCATCACCGCTGACCACGTCATCGAGATCATGGAGAAGTACCGGGTGACTAATACTTAATATTCTTGAGATACGTGTACTTTAAACTCACAATATAATATGCAAGACTTTATTACAAGTGGCTCGCTCGACTGCACCTAGACTACAATTTCATTACAAGAAAGTACTCAAAGCAGTAATTCGTTACAACATGCTGCTAATTAATAGCTTTATAAAATACTTACTCTGACTACTATGCTTGAGAACATCTTTCTAGCAATTAACAATACAATTTACTAAACTTTTAAAGTGGAATTTTGTTAAATCGTGACGAGTCCTTACATTAAGCAAGATTAAGGTTTTATGTAAAGTCGGTAAGTACTCGCACAAAGTAGGTACTTAGGCTTGTGCTAATTACCCTTCTAGCAACAATATTGTTCAGATACCAAGAGTTGGTAGTCACTGCATGGCGGCGAGATATTTTCTAAACTAGGAACGTATTAATGTGAACTAAATTAATTTTATGTAGATTGAAAAGCTTTTAAAAGTTAATCTCCGGCGCTTGTCACTGGAAATAATAATTTGAAAGTGCTGAGACTATTACCAACGTAGCTTTTGCAGTTTTAGTTTTAATTTAATTTTAAAAACATTATATTTTAATATACAATGTCAATTAGTTGCGAGCTAAACATACTCGCTATCAGAGTCACACAATAATATGTGTATTATCAAATATACATGTTGTGTGGTGTGACTTCGCTTGCTAGATAAATTATTTCGTGTGTTGATACCGGCCGGTGCGAGCGGCCTACAGAAACGTATCAGATAAGTTGTATTATGATAACTCTTTAATAATGCAGATATAAAACACCTCGCACCTAACAACTAGCTAGGTAAGAATATTATGATAACAGTTATCATATAACCAATATCTGTTGGATCCATGAGTAATGATAACATTAACATCAGAGCAGATTATGTAGGTCAGTAACCACGACTCAGTACTTTGATACTTCTAACTTTACAATAAAGTTGAATATCTACACAACGTGGCCTAGTATTTCATCACGATACTTACCTACTTACTATAATGAGTTATACTAAATAGTGGATCCACAAAATTCTTGTAAAATATTTTTAAAAGACAGTTATCTACATCTGGCCGTGGCTCTGCGAGCGGCTGCCAGGTCTGTTTTATGGTCGCCTCGTTGAGTTATACTCCGAAATGTGCTCAAAATGTGCCAAAAATACAAACTGTCTTAAATTAGCATAATTTACTTCAAGTCATTAAATGAACATAATATAAGACACACATCGTATCCTCTAAAGGGGTTAGTAGGACTATATGTTTAGTGTTGTATTTACTTGTCGCCCATTTTGTTACGAGTCCTAAACCAACACTCCTCCCGAAGCAGTCGGATAAAAAGTGGAAGTGTTGCCTCCTCTATGAAATACAATTAAACTTTGTCCGTACCGAGATTGTGTGTTGGGCACACTAAAATAACTGTTAATTAAATGACAATTGTTTACAGTTAAGAAATAAACAACTACTTATCAAACTGAATTAAATTTGCAATATTATCAATAGTGTTCATTTATAAATTACTTCCAGCCAACCTGGGGGTATTTAGCTCCTGCGTTTGCTGTGTCCCTGGTACCTCTCATCAGACCCGACCAGCTCAGCTCCTTCGAAACCATGTTCCTACTGGGAGCACCAGCCACTCCGACACTCATGGGGAACTTGAAGGTACGTACAAACGTACATTATACCAGAGAGAAGAATTATGAAGTCAGTTTATCAACAATGAGACTGTCACTTGGTCGCATATCATCATCATCACCAACAGCCCACCACAGCTGGAGTATGCAGGCTTTCTTTATAAAAGAGCTTAGCCATAATCTCCTCACTTGGCAGGCAGGATCCCAGTTTCAAAGAATCAGGTGTATACTTAAAGTATTTAGTTTGTAGTTAAATACTCTAAGGGTGTATAGAACATTGTTACTCTGTTAGATCATTATACGAGCATGTAAGTATGTAGTCCCTTCGTCGGCTCTTACGATACCCGCGAGGATATTAGGGGACGTATATACAATGTTATAATTACATAATTTTGCAGAATTCCTTCATTGTACAGCCATTACCGTTGTCAATATAATGATTTAATGAAATTAGTTACACGGCCATAAAAACAACAGAGCAATACACGTCCAACATACAGACGATTAATTTAGATTCGCATTCTGATATCTTACCAATTTGGCAAAGTTTCTAACAGCAGACCTTCTTAATAGTAACCATTACACTTGGAATACTTTGTGCGGCGTAGTACTAACTACTTGACGACATCTGTCAGCACTCCACTTAATATTTGTCTACAAAAAGACATAAGTCTATGCAGAACAAAATGAAGAGGATTACCTTACTGAGTGGGCGAGATTACTTTCGTGTTGTCTTAAGATTATAAATTTTATTTATGTTTCATTATATTTCAGGCCAAAATGTCAGAGACAGCGCGCCTGTGCGACGGGTACGGCATCACGGAGACACACGGACTCATCGCCATCCCTGACAGGGACGCGCCTATGAAATCCAACGGATGGGTGCTCAATTTCATAAATTACAAGGTATTAACTATACTACATTAGGAAAACTATGTACAAATTAATATTGAACCACAAATACAAGTAACACAGACACATTGAAGTTATTCGTAATAGAAGAACTAACTATTAGAGTTAGCACCGGGAGTAATTCGATTGTCTAATACCCTAATGGATAGACTTTCAGCTCGACTTAAGATATTTATGTCAATTGAATTTACACTTTGTTTAGGCGTAAACAGGATCTAAATTACATTTACTTATAAAGTTTTCTAGGAAAAGGTAATTTTATTTTCAGGTCGCACTAAAGTGTTATCTCCTAAATTGACATTCGAATCCTGTCTGCCCTACATCTCCTTATCCGATCTTATATTTTATCAAGGTCACGGCTGGTTTAATCTGAACAAGATGTTATGGTGTTTTATTTCAATTTGAACCTAATTATTGGCATGTTAAGAACCTTTTATCCCAGCAGTGGTAATTAGGCTAAAAAGTTATATCAGCTCATTACGGTCCGTTAAGTGAGGCTATCCAGAAAACATCCAGTGGAAATTGCTTCAGACATTATCCGACATTTTTTGCGATTGTAAAAATGTGCGAAACTTTCCAGCTCGTGGACGATGAAGGTCAGGAGCGAGGACGTGGCCAGAATGGAGAGCTGTGGGTGAAGGGGAACTCAGTGTTTAAGGTAATGATTTAACTCATCGACTATTGAAGACTGCTTGATTCCACAAAATAATTAGTCATGTTCAATTGTTTAGAACATAATTTTACAATGTTGAATGTTCGTAGGGCTACCACAAGAACATGGCAGCTTATGAGGAGACAGTCACGCCTGACGGCTGGTTCAAAACAGGAGACGAGTTCCACCTGGATGAGAACGATCGACTCTCATACGTTGTCAGAAAGAAGATCACCTTTAAACACATGGGCGCTCATGTTAGTATATTTATTCAATTTTTTTAGAAGCCTTTTGGAAGTACTTACATAAGTACTTGGTAGAGGGATATTCATACAGCAGCCATTGGAATAGTATAGTTAGTGCTTAAACAATAACATCTTAGCTATTGACCTAATTTGAGTCGGCCCTGACTGGTACTGCATACTTCGCGATATGATACTACGTCACTGCTCGGCCCTGATCAGCTGACGACCACTCACGCCACTAACCACACTGTTAACACTGCTCTAATCAAGGCCACTTGTCAGTTTAGTGTGAATTGTCCACTAACTGGTGTAAAATAATCCGAGTGGTGTAGTCGTAGGTCAGATACAGATTAATATTATTTTATCGAGTCATGAAAATACAATGCAAAGCTTTCATGATTTGGATTTCATTTATTCAGATTTTACAATCATAAATAAGATCTCATTAAATATCGTGTTTTTTGCAAACAGGTGGCTCCAGAAGAGGTAGAGCGAGTGATCTGCTCGGTACCGGGAGTGCACGAGAGCGTGGTGTGTCCGTCTGACAAGGGGGCCGTGGCGGCCGTGGTGTTACTGCCGGGGGCTGACGTCACCAGGGAACAGATACACGCCGTCGTTAACTGTAAGATTATATTTTAATTCTTTTGTAAATACATATAATATTAGTATTACAAAAATAACGGAATCTCATGGACCTCCCGCATTGCCACCTTACCTCCTTCGACGGCGATAAGGCGATCAGCTGTCAGATATTGTCACAAAGATGCGGGCGAGTAACTAATGATCAACTCGGTGTAATACTGACAAAGTTGTGGTCGACTGGTTATAGAAGTGTGAGGCTATCGAGCTGGCCACTCTGAGCACAGAGCCACACAAGTAATGTTATTGTACAGCTGGTGCAACACACTTGCCAATATCTAAAGCTGGCTGTTATTGAAAACTGACGAATAAAGTACGAACTGATATTGCGCGCTGCCAACTAAAGCGATCGAGACATCAAATACCGCTGCAGCGAGCACTCGACTCGAGGCCGTGTGCTCAACTTGTCATTACTACTTTTAAAATATTACTGAGCAGTTCTAAACAAAAATATAAAAGCAAAAATAAATATTGCTGTGTGGACGTGTCCGTTTTTGAGTGACTGACAGACAGACGCATTGCCATAACTACCAGCACTATAAAATAATTTCCCGAAAGGAAACGCAAAAATTAGAATATTCTACGTTGCACTTTTGAACAACTAGCGACAACCTTGTACTACACAGATAATTTTAGTTCCCGTGTAAATTCTTTAAAGTTTCATGTACAAGATAATATTCAGATATTTCAGAGCAACGTTTCACTTCAGCAAGACTTCACACGTCCTTAAACATGTTCAGCCGTCAGCTTTTCATAAGCCAAACCTCTTCTATTGCAGTTTATGTCTCGGAAACACCTTACTCGAGAAATACTCTTGCTCTTTTTCCAAAATAGACCTTAGAATGTTCATACTAAGATTTAGTTTCCTTTTTGCTCTTTTAGCCAGTTGGCTATCTAGGTTTACATGTGAGATCAGTACGTTGGAGACTAGAGTCTGCTTCCTTTTGTTAAGGTTTAATTTGTTTTGTTTGGTTGCAGCCACTTTGAGTGAACACAAGCGGTTACACGGAGGGCTCGCGTTCGTGCCGTCGCTCCCTCACACGCACTCCGCCAAGCTGAAGAGGAATGAGTGCAGCAAATTGATCGAAGAACTCATTAAGAGCGGAGACTGCTATTGAGTGGCTGTGATATGTTTGTGGACAGACAATGTTCTCGTTACACTATATATTATATGTAGGTTACTTGTATCGTGATTGTGTATATAGGCGGTGGAAATAGGTATTAGTAAGCTAGGGTTTGTTTTAAATAAACATTGTTACTGAAAACTATACCTTCTCTTATTCATCATCTGCATGTTGCCGCCATGAACCGATAAATGATGAACTCATGCAAGGATGCCGTTGACTTAGTTTAGTCCCGAATAGGTACGTTGAATAAAGTTAGAGATAATAACTAGTATGTGTCACACGACTACATGAACTACATTACTTGTTATTTTTGTAATTTGTCGGATTTGTTACGTTAGCGCGGAGTCCGAGCCCGCAGCCTCGCTCGAACAAATTGCGCGTCGCAAAGTAAATACAACGCCGACGCTGTATTTACATAGCAAACACGCCGGACACACAGACACACAGACTGATCTCGCGAATATTCAACACTCTCTATACTAATACAAACACCGACTTCTGTTACAAATAAATCTTAGTGTAAGGCGCGCTCCACAGCTCACTACGCTCTCACCAGATATTTTGCACTAAAATTCAGTCAAACATGAATTCAAATTTCCATCTTTTGTGAGTATAAAGAGCACATTTCTTTAAATGTAAATTGACACATTTACGTCCGTCTTACACAAACTCCCTACTTTACTGAATACGATAACGTTTAGTATTCACATATTTTCCCTTTAGTACAAGACTATAATCTTGAAGATATTCAGAGAACGCTCAAAGAAATCGTATTCGATTTCTGTTCACGTATTTCTTAGTCGGTTGTATGGCAACACGGAAAATTACTTGCATGTTCGAAGCAATCACACGCGCTAATAAATTTATACAGCTTCGGAGGCGGGACCTAGTCTAGTAGTACTAGTTACTGCCGCATCCAAATGTACGTGTCTCCTTGCCATGCAGCCTGATCAAATATTGAACACATCGCCTGACTGCTCAACTATTGGGGCATACGTATTGCATTGTAATACACAATAATTGGAGAAAATGAGTATTGTATGTAGTGCTGAGTGTAATAGAGGGCGCTGTGTATACTAACGAGATTAATATATACCTCTATAAGTGGTGTCGGGGGCTTGCAGTGATAATGGAACATAAGCTGGGCTTTAATTAAGGAGGTGGCCATGGCAACCTCGACGTAATTACAGTTGGAACACAAAGGTAACTCTGAAAGTTATCACATAATCTCATTACGGTATTTGGTCAAATTATACATTTATAAGTGGGCGACGGTAAAGCAATTGTAGGTTCATTAAAATGAGGAGAGGCTTGTGTGGCGATAATGAAGGCTCAGCTGAAGGGACCTCTAGTTAATTGTTAATAAGCGCGAGCTCCTGCGGCCGCCGCGGCGCCGCGCGCCCGGCCTGCACTCATTAGTGCGCGCTGCTTCATCATCTACCTGCGTGACCACTAATGTCCTCTAATCATTACGACATCTACGAGCTCCAAATGTATACATACTATATCATATTCTTAGGTAATTTAATTATACTCTAATACAATCATCAAGTATTTATTCCCTTGTATCCCAGCAGTAACAATAACAAAAAGTTAATCACAAGAGTAGGATAATTGTAAATGATATCTGTGTGCAAGTTTTTTGTTTCGTTTGATATACGAGTTTCGAAACTAATTAACAGTGGACTGCAGCGGCGGCGGCGCACACGAACAAATGCTAACTAATTATATAAGACATACATACACACACAACTACTACCTCTATATAACTAGGTATGAGTGTGTATCGTGCCTACTTGCAGTGTGTGCAGTTTTCGGAGCCTGCTGTTGTAGCGTTTGTGCAGAGTGGCGCGAGGCGGGGGCGAGGGGGGAGGGGGGCGCCACTTTGTAAATTACCAGTTTACAAAATGGGAAAATGCTAATGGAAATTCTTCTCCAGGCGACTAAGACCTTGTGGTGTTTTTCTCATTACTTGCGGACAAAAATCTTTGAAATATTTATAGAATCAACTATAGCCTAGTTGGTGTGATGTAATTGGAATTAACTGTGTAGGTTGTTTATGTATGTCATACTAGCTGTGTAGCGGAAGTTCATTAGATCGTCATAACTACGCACTAACACAATTACCTACAGTTAGTGTCACACATCCGTCCGTCGTGCATGATCGTGTGCATACATTAACGCATACCGGGTGCAAAGCAAACTGTGATGCGGCCTAAAGTCGTTGCGTGACGTTTGCACAGGTAGCACCGTCCCCGCGCCGTCCCCGCGCCGTCCCCGCACATGCCCCGCACCGGCCGCCGGCCCGGTAATGCATAATTAAGGTAAATTCACCAACTTGCTAATTCACTAGTTGTTTGTTCCGCCGGCCATAGTTGAAGGCTAAACTGAAGGTGTTTGCTCAACTAAATTGATATTGTCTTTAAGTTTTGATTAGACTTTCGTGATGGAGACTTCCTTTGAAGGGTAGTACAGGACTTTGCAAAGTGTTGCTGAATTAATATTGACATTCAAAGTAGCCACTTACATAAATGGCCTCCAGGTATACGGAGAGGTAATGGCGGCTGCGTAGAGTTGTGCATCAACAACAGTACCTTCCTTACAAACTTTGTTACACTTCTGTGTCGTACCTATATATAACTGTTGTGTGCCTGTAGCTAAGTATATTTTGGTTTGTAATTATCGTCGGCCGCAAAACTAAACGCTAAATTACACTTTGATTTACAATTGGTCCGCTGTCCGCTACCGATCTGATACAACAAATAATTTACATCAAAATAACAACGAACGTGATTGTTTGAATTCCAACCATTCGGAATTCGAATCTCGTAATTTGGATTGGACCGTTACACGCCATCCAATATGGCGGCCTATCACAACTAATCCTCCATATAAAATTCCGTTTGATAGCAGCAGCAATTTGTGTCGATCTAAAACTACATTTTTAAAGCTGCAAAAATTGGCAAAGTCCTAATTGCACCGTATCGGGGACTTTCGTTTATCTGCATAATGTTTCGAGTGCAGCGGCGGCTGCTAGTGGCAGGATTAAATTAAATACCAGTTTTAAAAAATGTCCACTCCCTTTGTGGCTAAGCGAAATGTTTTAGTCAGCTTCTATTCGTGTTTACTTTATGCTTTGAACATTTATTACTAAGTACTTTATATTTACGTTATTGTTCGCTTCAACATATTCAAATAAAAATATATCCCCACACAAAATCTTATTAAATAAAACACAATCCAAGTTTCATTCGTAAAGTCGAATAAAACCTCCAAAATACTCTTTTTTATCTCCAAATGTTCTTTTCCCGCAACATTCTTTCACAAATTACTTCGGGAACGAACCCTTTCTTCTTTAAATTTATAACCTCCAGTTGACGAGTTTCAAACTGTTTTAAAGTGAATCAAATTACGGGCGGTCGTTCAGAGCCGCACTGTACGCCGCATACTAAATAACTAAACAACATTGTGCTCGGAAACTTACAGCATTTTCTTTGAAAAAACTACAAATGATCGCGTGCTGTGTATTGTTGGTTGGCGGGACCAACAGCCCACGTAGTCATCACTCGGCATTCATAAACTGAACTGTTAAAACTTATCACTGAACAGAAGTGCTGTGCTCAATTTGTCCGTTGCTAAAATAATACCGGGACTGTTTGTCGAGGCGATTGCGAACGTATCGCACAAAAATACAGATTTTACAAGCATCTTCCTAGCGTATAAACCTTGGAAATTGCGAATAAAGGCTACGAAGGGATCCCTTACGTAAACTTGGGGATTATATTTTTATTTGACTCCTCGCGGCCTTTGTGCTCCTGGTAGCCGAGGTGAACATAATGTCATTACGGAAGGCAGTTTCTTTGAAATGTTTATAACGCTCGTGTTCTTGTACAATCTATTGATACATGAATATTCCACAGTAGTATCGAGACTAAAACTACCGACTAGTTTAGCTTATTGTAGCTACTAGGTATTCTAATCTACAATTATGTACTGGCATTTTAATGTTATCCACATTGGATCTTATATTACACTAAAACCTCAGGAAATACCTTCAATGTGCGTTGACGATGGTAAATGATTTATGTAGATGATGTGAAGTATAAATAATTCTGTATGGTGTGTGCGTGTAGTGGTGTTGTAGTGTGGTACACACCGCGGTCTCATGCAAGCCGACTGCCAACTGCCGAGTGCCGACTGCCGAGCCACCCGGCACCCGCTCGTTATTTATGCAAGTATTGCTCTTTAAGCCGAATTTCCTCACTCCATCGCATTTGCAAGTTTTATCTCAGTCCGGATTTTGGTCGAAGAATAGAGAAACATGTTTGATTCATTGGATTACTTTTATCTTTCTAACCTATTGCCTCACCTACACGTTTGTTTACTGGTTGAATAGGTACTACAATCTATCGCCTGTGTTTCCAACTACAGTTGTAGTAGATACAGATTTATATGCATTCGTACAACGTTTGTATTTTAACTTTCGTGAGACATACTAAATAAATTATTATGTTTTCGACTTACTCACGTTATATAAGACATACATAAGCAGCGCGACAGTAGCCGCGTCGCCGGTCCGAAATGCTGCTCATGAATATGAGCCTCTAGCATGGCTTGAAGCTAGTCGAGTTCCTCGTCCAATTACTACGTGGGTAAGCCGAAAACATAATAATTTATTCGTATAACGTTATTAAAAAACTATTAGGAGAACCTCAGAACTTCCCAAGAAATCACAGTTTACTTGTAATTTACAACAAGGAGTTGTGCAGTGAAACGAAGATAAACAAAAAGCCGGCATCATCGCAATTAATAGTTTCGGTTCAATTAGCGCGCGGTGTTCAGCAGTGTACACCCTTGTCAATGTGGCACCCTCATATAACTCCCGTGATGCCCCTTGATTAATGCTCAAGGTGAAATATTCACTACGCACTACAGAAGGACCACAACGAGGATAGAGGACAAGCTCAACACATTCGTCAGTGAATATACAA